GGAATGTTGCTCATTTTTCAGGATAAATGTCATGTTAATTTAGTACAAGAATAAAGTCAGTTAAGTTTTTGGCATATGGGAATGAGTCATTGCCAGAGAGACGGTAGAGAAATGAAAAAATACCAGATTCTTATGTGCTGTATGGAGGATGCGGGTGCTAAGAAAGGCAATGAGCTACACTTCTCCAACTATATTAAGCTACCAATTTTTATATTGCTTCATTGCACATAAATTGCATTCAAATATCCAGACTGAAAAACGCAGCATGTCCAGACATTCTTCTGCCTGAAAATAAGGTGCACTTAAAAATGGGATCTGTTTTGCTACATTCATGCTATTTGCAGCACCAGTTATGCCACAGATAAAGCACATACTGTTGAGAGTCACTGGTGCTAGAGATCGCAGACATACAAACCAGTATTTCCATTGTTCAGAGCAGCAGGGTCATTCTTTTGAGCTAGCTGTTCTAGAAACCTGATTTGCAATTACCAAAAATTTCCTCAGGGCCCAAGTTCACTCACAAAGATTATATACAGCACTCTTACCAAGAGACTGCTCTGAAGGCAGAGATTTATTCCACCACACCATCCTGATCTGAAGTGAATAAACAAGTTTTAATTTATTTGTATTTGAGTATGGTCTACATAAACCACATTGAGCTGACCCACACGTCTGCTGAAAAACTGTATGTCATAAAACACTTCTTTCATGAGAAAATATTATTCCTACTGACATTAAATACAACAGTGTATTTTGATGACAAAATTGATGAAGTTACTATTATGCTGAGAGGAAAATGAAGATTGCATGAGCATCCTCAACTTGGGGATAGCACTCATGAAGCTATGAATTAATTCTGCCACTCTAATCAATTCTGGCAGTATCTGCTAGACTCTGGAACCCATTCTGTACAACGGACTTGAGGAACAGTATCAAGTAATTAGAGAGATTTTCAACAAATGCAACAAGTTTGATGAAAGGTCTACAAAACCTGAATTATAAGGAATGATCCAATCCCCTACATTTACTTTGAAGTAAAAAAAAAAAAAAAAAAAAGGAGGAAAAGCTGTACATAAGATATTCTAGAGGCTGGCAGAGAGGAGAAGGAAGTAATTTATTCCCCAGAACCATATTAGAATAAGCAGTAATGGGCAGCTTGCAAGAAAACAGGCCAAGAAAAACACTTTAATGAAAAGCTTAATGATATAAAACAATGGCTGGGGCACCTTTTGCTGTCATCAGTAAAAGATTAGGCAAAAATCTCTCAAAAAGGACAATCTACTTTTCAGCAAAGCTATGGACTAGATGAGGTTCCCTTCCATCCTGTGAATTCCAATACTGTAGAAGAGAGGCATTAAGATTTTTTTTGTTCTTTAAAAGGCTAACAAAACCTCCTTTACTATCTAAGTTATTTAGAGTTAAATTTAATTCTAGTCTCCTAAACCAGAAAAAGCCATTACCGCAAATAGGGAATCAGTGAAAAAGAGATTGACAACTGAAGATTTAATGATTCATGAAATAAGTAAGAAAAATTGAAGAGCTAATCTAATCTAAATGCCATGGTGCATTTCCATATCTTCATTACAGAATATACCAAACAGGAAACTGAATGCTAAAGGGAAGAAACTTAAAATTTCTAAATATGATTTTATATCCTGACCACAATATTGTATGCAATTGCCTAGTGACAATTACATCTGTCAGACAGACAACCAACTGTAGCTCAGTGGAAAATGGGATTATCTTTATTAGCAGGCTCTTAAAAAAACAGGATATCCGTTTACTCCTCTGCTTCAAAAAAGAGATTACTCTTAATCTAATCTGCAATGTCAACCACAGTACTCTCCTTTAAAACTACAACGAAAAGATCCAATGCTCTAGAAAATCCTGAGGTTGTGAGAAAACTATTTTTCTGCCTGCAGTAAACACCTTTCAATACCTTCCTTCAAGCAGGATTTGCTGGACCTCACAGATCATGAAACACAGCTAATTTGATTAGGTACAGAAACATCAAAGTTACCAATTTAAATTTGTGTTTATTTTATGCTGATATGTATTCATACAACACATGGGAGATTTGCTGATTTAAAGTTATTGACAAAAAGATATGTATTTCTAAATGTGCATACACTAAGTAACTTCTTGTGACTGACAGCTTCCATTTCTAATGGAAAGATTTTCATAGACTACAGAAGCAACAACTGCCATTTACTCTTTAGACCTACCCCTGAGAAATAACTCTCTGTCCAGCATCTCAAGGGATGGGACAGAAAAAATTGCATTGTGGTTGCTGGGCAATACAATTAGAATAGGTAAATCTCCCCAACCATCAATCCAGTATAGCTACAAACATTGACAAGCAAAACATGTCTTTGGTATTTCAACTATACAACAAAACACAGTAATTGCTGTCAGCTCATCTATGAATTTATGAACAAATGGGAGGGGATATAAAGAAGGGTCTGAAAGAAAGCCAAAGATGACGACTCAAAAAGATAATACAATTTGTTAAGATTAAAAATGCTTGAATCCAAGAATTCCAAATTTGCAAGGGGGATAAAGATGGTATGCAACAAATGGACGAAAGCCCTTTTATTCCTGAAAGTGAAAGAAAACAGAGAACCATATTTTCACTTTTAAACAAATTCAAATTTATGTGAATGCACTCACCTCAGTATTTTCACACATGTTTTCAACAAAAGCACTTTAACAAAGAGGTCAAGAAGTCAAATAAGTGTTATACTTACTGGTAATGTACCCATGAGGGACCAAGGGTTTTCTTAAACTGAGTGAGTCCCACAATATCAATGTAGATGAGTTCTACAACTTTATCCCCCTGGGTAGGGCAACCAGATCTGTTACCTACAACCTTCTTCATAATCCTAAACAAAGAAAGAAGGAATATGGAAAAGTATTACTTTCCAAATACCTTGAATAGATGCTGTAATGCTATTTATACCAATAATTCCCCTTTCCAAAAAAAAAGCTTTACTCATCTTTTCCAAATCAGGAACCACATAAGAACATTCAAATGCTAAAGACGATCATCATTTATTAAAGAAACATTTATAAATCACTAAAGCATTAATTTTCACTAAAAACCTTCTCTAGTCTAAACGAGAGTAATAGGGTTGAAATGTTTAAAAACAGCGTGATTTGAAATTATATGAAATATTTTCTGACTTCTGTTGACAGCTTTTAGTGTAACAGGTCTACTAAATAACGCTGTCATGTTTGTTAGAAAAAAAATGAAGGCTACAGAAAAAGTCTATGTACTCAAGCTTGAAACAGATGTTTTATGCCTTATGCAAGCAACACAATGCAATGCAAGGCAAAGAAGAGTGAGGTAACAATTTGACCTAACATAAGCAATTAACTACTACAAAAGTAATGTGCTTGAAAGATTTCAATCTTTATTTTAAAATGAGATACTGAGTGAAGAATAGTGGCAAGTGAAGAAGAGGACATAGAACGAGGGTAGTCTGTGACATTCCCTATTGCAGCTAGCTAAAGCACCTGGAACTTTAAAGAATAAGCTGCTTAGTTTGAATTTTACAACACACATTGACGAAGTCTCAGGAGCCTGATGCTACCATGAAAACACATTATCCTTTTCATAGCACATATACTTAGCTCATGAAAATAATCTTATCGCCTGTTTAGTGAATTATCACTTTCATTTTATGCTTCAAGAAATTATATACTGTTAATAGAAGCTTCAAGAGTTTATAATTCTTTTTTTTATACTCCAGTTTCAAAAGTGAAAGTAATCTCCTTACTCCTTGAGCTCTGCCAGTGAAGCTGAAATCCTGATGTCATGGCCCAGTAAGTAGAGAGATGTAATTAAATCACTCCACTGGACTAATTCACCAAGCGGGCCACCACTAAACGCATTTTCTGCAATCTTGAATCCAGATTCTTTTGTCAAAAGCCCCAGATGAACAAGTATCTGGAAAGGAAAGTTATACGCTAGAGTTATTGACATTAAACATGCAACTGTTACACATAGCAGCATTTTTTCTTTCTATTAAGTTCCAACTATGGCAAAATAATCGACCAAAAAATTCCAATACTCCCACCCCAACAATTCAATTTGGTAATGCCTCTCTAGAGCAGTAATTATAAGGATGCTACCACATTGTTTCGCATTGCTGTCTACCATGAGATTAATAATTAAGCTCCCAAAACTGGTGTTATAAACAAAATAATCTCTAATACTGCACAGGAAGTTATAGCTCACATTAACTTACATTGATTTAACAATGACTTATATTCTCAAGGACATACTTGCTTATGTAAGACAGTATAGTTAAGGAAGGGTATGTTGTTGTCAACAAGCCAGGAAGAACTTGGAAAGACTGCATAACATGACACTTGCCAAACCTCTCCTCTCCACTGCCACCAAAGGAGAGATTTCTCTGTAGTTTCTTGAAATCTGTGCTTGCCTTTCTAATGAAGCACAAATAAAATTAATTCCAAACACTTCACTACATACCTGGACTGTTATTTGATGTGCGTACGTACAACACATAAAAAGTCCTAAACACCAAAACCCTTTTCCCCCAATCTTTATAAAGAAGCAACATTCAAAATTGTTCTACTCTCTTGCAGTTCCCAGAACTAAACTGGACATACTAAAATGAAATAGTCATGTTTTACAGAGCAAACTCAAAGGACTTTTTAAAAGCCAAGAATAAGCACTAGAGCCTCCAATCAAAACTGCCTATACAGGATCATACTGCTTGTACTAATACTTGAGTTTATGTATTTGTCCTGGTTTGGGGTAGAACAGGGCTGGTTCTCTTCAGTGATTTTAACTTTTCAGCTAAAGCATCTTCTCATCAACTGCCTTATCTGAAGTTAGCAGCATGTTTTTGCGAACTGCATGCTTTAAGCAGAGATAACGCTCCATGTGTAGAGTTACTACCAAGGATTGGTATGCAGACCAAGGTCACTTTGAAGTTTGTGAATCACACAGAGGGGAACAGAAAGTAAAGGTGCACCTGCAGGGAGGACTGACCAAGATAAGCGACCCTAAGATTCACCAGTGGGGTATTCCATCCCATAGCCGTCGTATTCAGTAAAAGCTGAAAGATCATGAGAGGCAGCCCCTCCCGCCGCCACTCCCGTCTCCCTCT